CCAAAAACATCTATCTATCTATCCATCTATCTATCTATCTATCTATTTATCTATCTATCTATCTATCTATCTATCTATCTATCTATCTATCTATCTATATTTCTTTCTAACTAATCTATCTTTCTAACTAATCTATCCATCTTTCTTTCTTTCTTTCTTCTTTCTAATCTATCTTTAAAACTTCATTCAAACTTCAAAACTTCAAACGCTCTGGTCCGGCTTTCTCAAGCCAACTTAAAGTTTGTCATCAAACTTTTTTTTTCTAGTTATTATTATTCTTCTTACTCAAAATTTTCTGACTCTAACTCCTCCTAGAGCTTTAACTCTACAAACTCCAAACACGGGTCAGACCTTCAGACTGTTCTGACTCGAGTTGCTATATCTTTTTAGACTGATTCGACTTTCAGATTTCTTAAAAATTGATATTAAAAATCATAAAAATCCCATTGAATTTCATTGCAGCATGGTCAAATTGAGCCAAGACTACGGTGGCCCAATAGCGTACAACAAAAACTCAAATCTAAATTCCCTGAAGTCCTAGACTCAATTAAACTACCATTCTATATGTACTAATGAACTTATCTATCTATCTATCTATCTATCTATCTTTTTTCTACTTAATCTTTCTTTCTTTCTTTCTAACTAATCTATCCATCTTTCTTTATATCAAATCTATCCATCTTTCTTTCTAACAAATCTATCCATCTTTCTTTCTAACTAATCTATCCATCTTTCTTTCTAACTAATCTATCCATCTTTCTTTCTAACAAATCTATCCATCTTTCTTTCTAACTAATCTATCCATCTTTCTTTCTAACAAATCTATCCATCTTTCTTTCTAACAAATCTATCCATCTTTCTTTCTAACTAATCTATCCATCTTTCTTTCTAACAAATCTATCCATCTTTCTTTCTACCTAACTAATCTATCCATCTTTCTTTCTACCTAACTAATCTATCCATTTTTCTTTCTAACTAATCTATCCATCTTTCTTTCTAACAAATCTATCCATCTTTCTTTCTACCTAACTAATCTATCCATCTTTCTTTCTACCTAACTAATCTATCCATCTTTCTTTCTAACAAATCTATCCATCTTTCTTTCTACCTAACTAATCTATCCATCTTTCTTTCTAACAAATCTATCCATCTTTCTTTCTACCTAATCTATCCATCTTTCTTTCTAACAAATCTATCCATCTTTCTTTCTACCTAATCTATCCATCTTTCTTTCTACCTAACTAATCTATCCATCTTTCTTTCTACCTAACTAATCTATCAATCTTTCTTTCTAACAAATCTATCCATCTTTCTTTCTACCTAATCTATCCATCTTTCTTTCTACCTAACTAATCTATCCATCTTTCTTTCTAACTAATCTATCCATCTTTCTTTCTAACAAATCTATCCATCTTTCTTTCTACCTAACTAATCTATCCATCTTTCTTTCTACCTAACTAATCTATCCATCTTTCTTTCTAACAAATCTATCCATCTTTCTTTCTACCTAGTCTATCCATCTTTCTTTCTACCTAACTAATCTATCCATCTTTCTTTCTAACAAATCTATCCATCTTTCTTTCTAACTAATCTATCCATCTTTCTTTCTAACAAATCTATCCATCTTTCCTTCTACCTAATCTATCCATCTTTCTTTCTAACAAATCTATCCATCTTTCTTTCTACCTAATCTATCCATCTTTCTTTCTAACAAATCTATCCATCTTTCTTTCTACCTAACTAATCTATCCATTTTTCTTTCTAACTAATCTATCCATCTTTCTTTCTAACAAATCTATCCATCTTTCTTTCTACCTAATCTATCCATCTTTCTTTCTACCTAATCTATCCATCTTTCTTTCTACCTAACTAATCTATCCATCTTTCTTTCTAACTAATCTATCCATCTTTCTTTCTAACAAATCTATCCATCTTTCTTTCTAGCAAATCTATCCATCTTTTTTCTAACTAATCTATCCATCTTTCTTTCTAACTAATCTATCCATCTTTCTTTCTAAAAATTCTTTCTTTCTCTTTCGTTCTTTCTTTCTTTCTTGATGCTAATAACATGCTAATCATGCTAGCTTTCTGTTAATTATGTTAGCTTCTTGTTAAAAACATGCTAGCATGATGCTAGCTACATGCTAATCATGCTAGCATGATGCTAGCTACATGCTAATCATGCTAGCATGATGCTAGCTACATGCTAATCATGCTAGCTTCTTGCTAAAAACATGCTAGCATGATGCTAGCTACATGTTAATCATGCTAGCATGATGCTAGCTACATGCTAATCATGCTAGCTTCTTGCTAAAAACATGCTAGCATGATGCTAGCAACATGCTAATCATGTTATTATGATGCTAGCTACATGCTAATCATGCTAGCATGATGCTAGCTACATGCTAATCCTGCTAGCTTCTTGCTAAAAACATGCTAGCATGATGCTAGCAACATGCTAATCATGTTATTATGATGCTAGCTACATGCTAATCATGCTAGCATGATGCTAGCTACATGTTAATCATGCTAGCTTCTTGCTAGCAACATGCTAATCATGCTATTATGATGTTAGCTACATGTTAATCATGCTAGCTTCTTGCTAAAAACATGCTAGCATGATGCTAGCAACATGCTAATCATGCTATTATGATGTTAGCTACATGCTAGTCATGCTAGCTTCTTGCTAAAAACATGCTAATCATGCTAGCTTGATGCTAGCTACATGCTAATGATGTTAGCTTCTTGCTAAAAACATGTTAGCATGATGCTAACAACATGCTAATAATGTTATTATGATGCTAGCTACATGCTAATCATGGTAGCATGATGCTAGCTACATGCTAATCATGCTAGCTTCTTGCTAAAAACATGCTAACATGATGCTAGCAACATGCTAATCATGCTAGCATGATGCTAGCTACATGCTAATCATTCTAGCTTCTTGCTAAAACATGCTAGCATGATGCTAGCAACATGCTAATCATGTAAGCATGATGCTAGCTACATGCTAGTCATGCTAGCTTCTTGATAAAAACACGTTAGCTTGATGCTAGCAACATGCTAATCATGCTATTATGATGCTAGCTACATGCTAATCATGCTAACAACATGCTAATCATCTTAACTACATGCTAATCAAATTAGCATCAAGCTAGCTACATGCTAATCATGTTAGCTTCTTGTCAAAAACATCTATCTATATTTCTAACTAATCTATATTTCTAACTAATCTATCTTTCTAACTAATCTATCCATCTTTCTTTCTTTCTTTCTAATCTATCTTTAAAACTTCATTCAAACTTCAAAACTTCAAACGCTCTGGTCCGGCTTTCTCAAGCCAACTTAAAGTTTGTCATCAAACTTTTTTTTCTAGTTCCAAAAATGTAACTTTTCTAAGGACAAATGCTAGCCTTGCTCTATTCTGTGAGGCGCGTTTGCAACGTCACGTAATACGTAATTACGTTCAAAAGGTCACGGGCGACGTAGCCGGAAGTACAGAATCAAAATCGTCCGACATCGATGTTTTACCTTTTAATTCATTTTTTGTAAACGGCGTTTGAGTTAGTTTGCACGTTCAGCCTATGCGTTCAACTTGACTCTGTACTTCCGGCTACGTCGCCCGTGACCTTTTGAACGTAATTACGTATTACGTGACGTTACAAACGCGCCTCACAGAATAGAGCAAGGCTAGCATTTGTCCTTAGAAAAGTTACATTTCTGGAATAAGTTTTGAAATAAGCGCTCGTTTCGCATGATAAGACCCTTATTCATCGTCTGATATCGTTTAAAGCCCTTTGAACAGTTTGCACTGAAACTCTCTTTTGGACCTTGGACCGTCTGGTTCCCATTGAAGTCCATTATATGGAGAAAATCCTGGAATGTTTTCATCAAAAACCTAAATTTCTTTTCGACTGAAGAAAGAAAGACATGGACATCTTGGATGACATGGGGGTGAGGAAATTATCAGCAAAAGTTTTTTCAAAAGTGAACTAATCCTTTAAGTACATGGACATGACATACAGTGAGTCTCAAACGCCATTGTTTTCTCCTTCTTACTTAAATCTGGTTTTTGAAAAACACCCCTGAAAAACAGGCGAGTCTCCACATAACACAGACTGTAATTAATATGTATGACTCCAGACATTTGCATATGCCAGCCCATGTCCAATGATAGCCGAAGTGTTTGGATGTAGCCTACACATGAACACAAAAGTATTTTTTAGTTCCTTCATCTTCATCTGAGAGACTTTCACATGTAATACGTAGCTATTTCATATGCAAGCATGTCAGCCAATCACAGCAGTGGGCGGTTACACTGAATCCCACGGCAGACACGCCCCTTTCAAACAGAGCGTTCAAATCAGAGGCTAGGAAAAATGCCTTTTATTACTAAATTATGACTATTTTTGATCTAAAAAAACATACTAACATTATAAGGGCAACCCTGGAAACATTATAAAATAATAAAAAAAAACATTCTAGGGCACCTTTAAATAAATACTAAATAGATAACTGGCCAATTTAGTTGTTCTATTGAGGGTCGAGTTTATTTTGGAGGTCAAAACTTGCTTTTAGTGATCGATCATGAGTGTGTTTTAGGTGTGTGTGGATCTCTTGAACAGTAGCTGTGGTGTAGAGGATGAGGTTTGCTGAGCTTTCATTTATATTGGACTGACTGGATTAAATAAGTAAATAATAAAAGATACCACAAATTTGCAATGGAAACACTGGCGAAATTTAAAAGAAAACTCTTATATTTCAAATGGTGTCATCATTATCTCTGACTTTGACGTGTAGTCGAGAGAAATTTCAAATCAGAAAATTAAAAAATAATAATTTAAATAAAGACAATGGTGATCAAAAACAGTTAGTTTGCTGGATATTCAAATGAGATGTGTATAAAAAGTAAAAGGTGTTTTCACTCTTAAACGCATTGCATCTCGCTTTAATCTGTTCATGTTTGTTTCGTCTCGTCTAACCGGTGTGTTTCCCTCCAGCAGGGGGAGCTGTGATGGTTGTGTGTGTGTGTCAGGATGCAAGGAAACCTAGAAGACACTCTTTCACCATGACGTCCCCCCCGCGCTCTTCTCAGCCATAGAAACACACACACCGGAGAACACACACCACCTCACTACAGCACCTGGTGTGTCAGGTAAAATACTGATGACTTGATCACATACAATTTTACTACCATTGTAGGAGTTAGTTCACTTCAGAATGAACTAGGGCTGGGTATTGACACAAATTTCACAATTCGATTTGATTTCGATTCACAAGCTTGCAATTCGATTCCATTTCGATTACGATTCGATTCAATATTGATTATTCTGGATATCAGTTACAATAAATGGCCATTTTTCTCAAGGGAATCAAATCTCTTAACTAATGCTGTAAACTATGGGAGTCTAGTTGTAGCCTATAGACTTCATTAGCCTAATATGAAGGTAATAATGAACTGTTTTGTAACTATATAAACACTTAAATTATTAAAATAAATTATAAATATATTTTTATAATAAGAAATTATATGAAATAAACATTTAAATGGTGGCTGTCATAAAAACTTGCCAGATTTATTCAAATATGCATTAAATATTGAAGAACATTAAGATTATAATGCATATGTAATATGGTGTATATATTTAGCAAAATGCTCCTCTCTAGAGTTATTTTTTCTAGCTGACTAACGAGTTTATGTGGGTTTTCTGAGGTAAATATGACGATACATTGATTACAAGCTGTTTAACTGACGTCTTTCCACGGTTGAAACGCTGATTGAGCGAATCAATGTGACATGATACGGATTTGGATAAGTTGTACTCTATCTTTAACACACTTTCAGATGCTCATTCATGTTTATTTGACGCTGTGACTGGTATTATTAAGCCGGAAGAGAGATCAGCGCTGCTGCTTCTCTTGAGCCACAGCGCCAAAACGTTATTTATGTTTTTGAATTTCTAAAGAAAATGGACGTAATTTGAAAATTGAGACTTTGTTTCGTATCAATAGTAACAAAGGACAAAGATTATTGCGATTTTTTTTTTGGATGCGAGCAGCCGTGATACAATGATCCATTCATTCAAATGAAACAGGATGACTAATCGATTCTTGAGATTTAAGAATCGATATCGGTTCGTAAAAATAAGAATCGATTAATATCGAGAAATCAATATTTATTACCCAGCCCTAGAATGAACATTTCCTGATAGTTCCACGTCATCCAAGATGTTCATGTCCGTCTTTCTTCAGTGGAAATGAATTTTTTTTAAAGGAACACACTCCAGGGTTTCTTGGATGACGTGGAGGAGTGTAAATGATCAGGAGATTTTAATTTAGTACTGCATGTCCTACTCCCTCTGGTGTTTCTCAGCCGCTGCTGGTTTGCGCTTCAAGGGAAAATGTCAGTGGTTTTCCCTTCCGACGGGATGGAGAACTCCGACACGATGCTCACCGACGCTCCCGAAGGCATCCGTGGGAAAGCCGTCCCATCCGCTCCCTCTAAAGACACCAACGCAGACACAACAGATCCTGATGACAACCTCTCCCAGGATGCTCAGGTAACCTCGGCTGATTTCATAGGGGTGTCGAAATTAATCATTTTAATCATTAATCACATATCTTCAAAAAAAACAACCAAATTGTGTTTAATTCAGGAACAGTGTTGTTCGCATATTTAGTTCTTGTCGACTCTGCCTTTTTTTTGTCTTTTTTCTTTTTTTTGGCATTTATATTATATTCCATTATTTTTCTCTTTACTAGTATTTTTATTCTTGTATTGCATTTTATCAAAAGCCCTTATTGTTTTGTATTGCTCGTGTATTGTATTGCATTTTTACTAAAAAAGCCCTTCTAGGGACTAATGTTGTAAATTAGCTTTGGCTAAAAACATTGATACATGCATCAGATCACTATCAAAGTGTATCTATGTTATCTGTATCTGTCCCTATCTAAATAAACTATAATAATAATAATAATAATAATCATTTCTACGATGTATCCCTGACGCTACATCTGGGCACATTTCGGCTTTTATGAACAACCTGGTTAGAGCTGGAGAAGACGCGCTGTGCCCCGAGCCGTTAACGCAAGGCAGAGTAGCTCCAACGTCACCCCAATCCACAGCCAAATGCAAATCATCATCCTCTCTGATTTAAGTATCCGCACCCGATGCTCAAATTACAATTATTATGAGTCTAATCACTCTAATATGATGATCTGATGCTCAAGAAACAATTAGGATTTCTATCATAGTTTATGGTTTCATATTTGTGTGGAAACTGTGATATTAGTTGAATAGAAAGTTCAAAAGAACAGCATTTATTTGAAATTGAATCTGTTGAAACATGATAAAAGCACACTGCATTAAACTCCTGCTAAAGCTTTCTGATCTGCCACAGACCAGGTTTATATTGAACTGAATCAAAAGAAAAAAAAGGCTAAAAGTTGATTAAATGGTGACCAGTTACCACACCAGAAATATTCATGTAAAATTTAACCTGGAATTTTGACGTTGAATAATATAACGTTATTTGTCAACTTGCTATCTGTGCAGTATCGGTCATCAGGTTTTGTTTGGTGCTGAAGTTCATCATTATTGTCTGATTTTAAATGGTCACTAATAAACATTGTGTTTGGTCTCTACAGCGGCGCTGTCAGAATCACGGACACACCAGGAAACGAGCCAAGGTAAGAGTGTAGAAATATAAGGCAAAGTGAGAGTGTGTAGAAATATAAGCCAAGGTAGGAGTGTGTAGAAATATAAGCCAAAGTGAGAGTGTGTAGAAATATAAGCCAAAGTGAGAGTGTGTAGAAATATAAACCAAGGTAAGAGTGTAGAAATATAAGGCAAGTTTGAAGTGTGTAGAAATATAAACCGAGGTTAGAGTGTGGAAATATAAGCCAAGGTAAGAGTGTGTAGAAATCTAAGCCAAGGTAAGAGTGTAGAAATATAAGGCAAAGTGAAATGTGTAGAAATATAAGCCAAGGTAGGAGTGTGTAGAAATATAAGCCAAAGTGAGAGTGTGTAGAAATATAAGCCAAAGTGAGAGTGTGTAGAAATATAAGCCAAAGTAAGAGTGTGTAGAAATATAAACCAAGGTAAGAGTGTAGAAATATAAGGCAAGTTTGAAGTGTGTAGAAATATAAACCGAGGTTAGAGTGTGGAAATCTAAGCCAAAGTGAGAGTGTGTAGAAATATAAGCCAAGGTAGGAGTGTGTAGAAATATAAGCCAAAGTGAGAGTGTGTAGAAATATAAGCCATGGTAATAGTGTAGAAATATGAGCCAAGGTAAGAGTGTGTGTAGAAATCTAAGCCAAAGTGAGAGTGTGTAGAAATATAAGCCATGGTAAGAGTGTAGAAATCTAAGCCAAAGTGAGAGTGTAGAAATATAAGCCAAAGTGAAAGTGTGTAGAAATATAAGCCATGGTAAGAGTGTAGAAATATGAGCCATGGTAAGAGTGTGTAGAAATCTAAGCCAAAGTGAGAGTGTGTAGAAATATAAGCCATGGTAAGAGTGTAGAAATATAAGCCAAAGTGAGAGTGTGTATAAAAATAAGCCATGGTAAGAGTGTAGAAATATAAGCCAAGGAAGAGTGTGTAGAAATATAAGCCAAAGTGAGAGTGTGTAGAAATATAAGCCAAAGTGACAGTGTGTAGAAATATAAGCCAAAGTGAGAGTGTGTAGAAAAATAAGACATGGTAAGAGTGTGTAGAAATATAAGCCAAAGTGAGAGTGTGTAGAAATATAAGCCAAAGTGAGAGTGTGTAGAAATATAAGCCAAGGTAGGAGTGTGTAGAAATATAAGCCAAAGTGAGAGTCTGTAGAAATATAAGCCAAAGTGAGTGTGTAGAAATATAAGCCAAAGTGAGAGTGTGTAGAAATATAAGCCAAAGTGAGAGTGTGTAGAAATATAAGCCAAAGTAAGAGTGTGTAGAAATATAAACCAAGGTAAGAGTGTAGAAATATAAGGCAAAGTGAGAGTGTGTAGAAATATAAGCCAAGGTAGGAGTGTGTAGAAATATAAGCCAAAGTGAAAGTGTGTAGAAATATAAGCCAAAGTGAGAGTGTGTAGAAATATAAGCCAAAGTAAGAGTGTGTAGAAATATAAACCAAGGTAAGAGTGTAGAAATATAAGGCAAGTTTGAAGTGTGTAGAAATATAAACCGAGGTTAGAGTGTGGAAATCTAAGCCAAAGTGAGAGTGTGTAGAAATATAAGCCAAGGTAGGAGTGTGTAGAAATATAAGCCAAAGTGAGAGTGTGTAGAAATATAAGCCAAAGTGAGAGTGTGTATAAAAATAAGACATGGTAAGAGTGTAGAAATATAAGCCAAGGTAAGAGTATGTAGAAATCACTATTCCAGTTTTTTGAGTTTCACCTGTGTGTGTGTGTGTGTGTGTGTGTGTGTGTGTGTGTATATAAATATATGTACTTTTATATAGAACTTTTTGAAATGTCCGCGAGGTCGTCGCGTAGACTGTCAGTGGAGGGAAATATTTGGTTTGAATTCCTTCTTTAAAGATGATCTAGATTTGTGTTTGTTTTGTGTTTGTTTTCCCTGCTGAGTTCGTCAGACGGGGTTCTCTTCCGTTCGACCTCTCACTCACTTCTCTTGCCTTTGCACTAGTTGGCAAATCTGGTCCTTTCCAGATGTTACACACACACACACACACACTCAGTCCACTCAGATAAGATTAATCAGTCCCTTTTCAACATTTCTAAAGCATTAACTTCCATGATGTAACACTAGTGAAACAGATATAAAAGTGTCTATTAGACTCTGATTGGGTGCTTGAATCATTCGTCTCTTCTGGGATGTTCCTTCTTAGATTTTCTCAAATTATATATCAGACATTTTGTTCATTTTCAAGTGATTTGGGACGGAAAAAATAGATGAATTGGACAGTTTCAGATTTCTCTTTCTCCTTTAGATTTTTTTAATTGACAAGTCTTATCAGAGAGTTTCTTACTAGTAATTACATCTCGTTAATACGATCATCCAGGCAGTGAATGACCACCCCCCCCCCCCCCACACACTCATCTTTGCGTCAGCAGAAAGATGGCGAAGTTATTGTTTTAATGAAAGGTTATGAACGCTGATGTTTTCTGTAGAATAGTGTGTCATTCTTCATAGGAACTGGAATGTGAAATTGAAGTTCATGTTGATTAATTAGTTAATGGATGGCACCAGTGGCAGCACAATCTTCACCTTGTTCATTCCCATAATGCATCTCCCAGGTATGAGATTAGAATTGTTTGCTAATGTCTTTAGCTAATCTTTCTTTGTCCCGTGTCTCTGTCTCAGTCGAATGCAAAGCTCAAGCTGGTGAGGAGTCTTGCCGTGTGTGAAGAATCATCAGGTCCGTTTTCAACCGACGGTCCTCCAGAATCACAGGTAATGTCACACACACACACACACACACACGATCACAGGTTAGGTAATGTCACACGATAGCAGGTTAAATGGCGTCACATGATCTTAGGTTAGATGATGTCACACGATCACAGGTCAGGTGATGTCACACGATCGCATGTTAAGTGATGTCACATGATCCCAGGTGAGGTGATGTCACAGTCTGTGATGTTTTATGAAACAGTTCAAACAGACACCATTAAGATACTGCCATTAAAATTCATAAACATCCTGTATAAACAAGCATGAATATTTAGTGTTGATTAATATGATTTTTGTTTGTCTAATCCATGCAGGACATCATTCAGCTTCACATCAGCTGTCCATCCGACAAAGAGGAGGAGAAATCCTCAAAAGACGAGTACGAGAATGAGGAGAGGGAAAAGAAGGATAAAACTCCACGCAAGATGCTCTCACGCGGTAATAACACACACAAGTGACCGACTTCATATGGATATTTTTTTTATATGTTGAAAGCCACGGCCGTTGGGCAATTATATAAAAAAAAAGATATAAATAACTTGCAGAACAATTGCTGCAATAAAATATATATATATATATTAGGGCTGGGTATTGAGACAAATTTCACAATTCGATTTCGATTCCGATTCGATATTGATTATTTTGGATATCATTTACAATAAATGGCAATTTTTCTCAAGGGAATCAAATCTCTTAACTAATGCTGTAAACTATGGGAGTCTAGTTGTAGCCTATAGGCTTCATTAGCCTAATATGAAGGTAATAATGAACTGTTTTGTAGCTATACAAACACTTAAATTACACTTTTATTTATTTTTATAATAAGAAGATTATATGAAATATAAACATTTAAATGGTGACTGTCATAAAAACGTGCCATATTTATTCAAATATGCATTAAATATTGAAGAATATGGTGTATATATTTAGCAAAATGCTCCTCTCTAGAGTTATTTTTTCTAGCTGACTAACGAGTTTATGTGGGTTTTCTGAGGTAAATATGACGATACATTGATTACAAGCTGTTTAACTGACGTCTTTCCACGGTTGAAACGCTGATTGAGCGAATCAATGTGACATGATCCGGATTTGGATAAGTTGTACTCTATCTTTAACACACTTTCAGATGCTCGTTCATGTTTATTTGGCGCTGTGACTGGTATTATTAAGCCGGAAGAGAGATCAGCGCTGCTGCTTCTCTTGAGCCACAGCGCCAAAACGCTATTTATGTTTTTGAATTTCTAAAGAAAATGGACGTAATTTGAAAATTGAGACTTTGTTTCATATCAATAGTAACAAAGGACAAAGATTATTGAGATTTTTTGGATGCGAGCAGCCGCGATACAATGTCCCATTCATTCAAATGAAACAGGATGACTAATCGATCCTTGAGATTTAAGAATCGATATCGGTTCGTAAAAATGAGAATCGATTAATATCGAGAAATCGATATTTATTACCCAGCCCTAATATTTATATATATATTAATACTGGTGAAACTCGAAAAATTTGATATGGTGAAACAGTTCTTGCTTCATTGATTGAACCTTCACATTGATCACGTTTTCCCGTTGTCTTGCAGACTCCAGTCAGGAATACACTGACTCCACAGGGATTGATGTGCACGAGTTCCTGGTGAACACACTGAAGAACAACCCCAGGTACAGCAGGCCTCCGTCACAGTGATGTCAGACTCGGACACTCTTCCTCGTCTACTTACACTCGGGTTTTCCTTTGTCAGTCTCAGGCCACGTCTACATCAATCCGGAGACGTTAGAAAACGGCATTTTCGTTTAAAACACACTAGAGCCAGACTGGTATATCGGCATTTTCCAAACTATCGGTATCGGCAGTTATAATGGCCGATAAATCAATATTTCAAAAATAAATTAAAAAGGGACGAAACACGCTTGAACCATGTCACGAGTGTTGGAGTTGTATAGTTTGTCCACCAGAGGGCACTCTACACCGTTCCTGTTGGCAACACTCGTTGAGTTGGTCACGAGACATACATTGCTTGAATAACAATTAAAAGAACATAAGCATGACAAAATTTGTGACTATCATGTCCAGTTTAAAATAAGTAAATAAAATATCGGCCGATATATCGGAATATCGGATTTAAAAAAAAAAAAAAATATTTGTATCGGTATCGGCCTTCAAAATCCTTTTATCGGTCGGGCTCTAGTCCACACTATGGCTGTCATATTGCGTTCGAAAATCGTTTTTAACAAGATTTTTTTTTAACTATAATTGTGTGTTAGGTGGACAGATCAATACAGCACACAGAACATGTGGGATGCTGGATAATAACAATGTGTTTTCTGTTCACCAAATGCTTTTTAATATTCGCTATTACAAGTGAACAAGCGCACCGATATTTGTGTGTTAAAGGGACACCAGGCAGGAATCACGTTTTTATGTGTATTTAACGTCAATACCACTCACGCAGAGCGAGACGTGACGTGTTACACAGTATACAATAGTACATTGTGTTTAATTTGTCATTTAATGAGATCTAAAATAGTTCTTTTCCAAAACGCTATATATCCATTTCAATAGTTTTCAGGAAAACTACATTTTTTACCTAGACCCACACATTTTGTGAATATTCAAATTATCCTGTTGAAATGTTTTATTGGTTCAGTCTGAACACTTTGAACAATGACTATTAAATCAAACAACAGTATTGTTAATGATAAATTAAAAGTTAATTTTATTTTTTTTTCAAAACGCTATAGATCCATCCTTTTTTGTATCATTTTTAGTGAAGTCATTTTTAGTAAAGTGTCAAACCTCAAACAAATAGTACCAATTTCAACATATGCATGAAAAAAAACTAATTATTAAAAATGGTCAATAATGATAACGATATTCAAAAAATGGCGTTTATCGCGTTTTGGAAAAGAACTCTTCATATGTTGAACTTTAATGGTCCATGGTTTAATGTGTCCGAGGTTCTGGGCTCTAATCCACAGTAGTTATTTTCCTCATCAAAACCGATTGTTTATTAGTGGTTGTATATCAAGCAGGGACACGTTTTTTGTGCATTAGGTTTTGTGATTTCACCGTAACAAATATAGAGAGTCTCTCAGTTCCCGCAGCGGATTGAATCGCGCATCCGTACATAACACTGTATCCGCGACACTGATCGCAACGAGCACTTTGGTCACTTGATAAAAAAAAAAAACGCACTTCAGATCGCCTCTTATTTAACAAACAAACTACATGAATGCTCTACTAGAGTTACCTGGAGATGTTTTATTTGTTTGTAATGGTACATCCGTGCCGCGAGATGTACCAATGGGGACACATCACACCCGCACATTACGCCTATGCAAAATACGCCTATACTTATGCTAAGTATATCTATTTGAATGTGTGCCGGCCTTCATTTGATTAGTTTTTTTGTTTTCTGGATCAGTTTGATATCTAAAATAATTGTGTTTACTCTTCTAGAGACAGAATGATGCTGCTTAAGCTGGAACAGGATATACTGGAGTTCATAAATGATGAGAAGTTAGTCTCTCTCTCTCTCTCTCTCTCTCTCTCTCTCTATGCAATAAAATTGTATGTGTAAATTTTTATACATGATAGCGTTTATTTGATATGGAACCTTTTGTAACTTTATAAATGTAATTACTGTCACTTTTTATCAATTTAATGTCCTTGCTCTTTTTTTTAAGTACCATACATTTTTGAACGATAGTTTATTATGGTTTGCACAATCAATTTTAAGCAGAAATAATATTTTAAATATTCATAATAAGAAATGTGTGTGTGTAGGTATATATATATATATATATATATATATATATATATGCACACATACACACAGAGTGAGAGTGCATGTTCATGTTTCTCTCCTTCCATAGTAAATGTTGGTGTTTTACACTTTATCCTGTAGTTGATATTTGTCGCCCCCTTTTGGTGGTTTGAGAGTATTGCAGTTATGTGCTTGTTTTACTCTAAACATGACTCTGTTGGAGCTGTGTTGTATTTTCTTTGTAATAATGATGTTTTTGTATCCGTATTTTCAGTAATCAGTATAAGAAGTTCCCTCAAATGACCTCATATCATCGCATGCTGCTGCATCGAGTCGCTGCTTACTTTGGCATGGATCACAACGTGGACCAAACGGGCAAAGCGGTCATCATCAACAAGACCAGCAACACTCGCATGTGAGATTCGACGGGAATGATCCTAACCAGGGCTTGAAATTAACTTTTTCACTCACCGGCCAATTTGGCCAACTTCTACTAGCCAAATAAATAAGAAAAGAAAAGAAATGAACCACATTAACTACGTCACAGCTGACATAGCCTAAATAATATTATTGATATTTTTATTAGCCTATATATTTTGGATTTCATACATCAATTTCTTATTTAAACTAAATCCTGTCATCCAGCATCTCCTCCTTCCTCTTTTATCCTCATCTTCCCCAGCAAAGAGAGCAAACATAATAAATAACACATCGAATTGGCTCGTGATTCGACAGAGTTATCCGCCACAGTTTATTTTTACCCGGATTTGACGTTGGCGGGTGTTCACACAGCTATAATGTCAAGACCGTGTCTAAAGTTCTCGTCTTTCTTTTCTCTATCAAATTTGGCTAGTCTACATTTTTATGCAACTGATTTAAAAAAAAAAGCTATGAACAGTCTTAAAGGTGCAGTGTGTGGTTTCTAGCGGCATCTAGTGGTGAGGTGGTGAATTGCACCCAACAGAAGTTACAGTTAAACAGAAATTACAGTTAAACAATGAGGTTTCTTTACAAAGATGCATTGAGAAATTTGGTTTACTTAGTTATTCAGTCAAACGGTATTTTATTGCAAATATGTATTAGTGTCAGTGTTTAGTTTAGTTTCGCTTATAATAATAAAAGATAATAAACACATAACGCCTCATTATGTAAGCTCATTATACACTACTGAACACAGAACTATGAGGATATGATATTGTATTTCTGTTAACAGATCCTCATTAATGTCACACACTGCACCTTTGAAACACACTTTATGGCTGAAACTGGCACGCTGGAAGAGTTTGAGAGTTTTAAACTCATTTAAATTGGTTTCTATTATTGGCATGACAAAACTGTACATTTGCATTACCAAAGTTGGGCAAAAGAAAAATGACTTTACTGCAAATGTATTAAACGTAGAACTTACAGGATAAAAACAAAACAAAAATATAATTTTTTAATAAAAATACATACACTACCAGTCAAAAGTTTAAAAAAGTGATGTCTAAACGTTGTAAGACTAAATATATATAAATATATATATATATATATATATATATATATATAAAATTATATTTAAAATTCTTGGCCACATCTGTGTGTTGCAGTCCTGAGCAGAGGTTCTCTGAGCACATTAAAGACGAGCGCACCATGGACTTCCAGAAGAAGTTCATCCTGAAGCGAGACGACGCTAGCATGGATAAGGATGATAATCAGGTGTGTGTTCTGCACTTGTTTGCCTGTGTGTGTGTGTGTGTGTGTGGTGCTTCTGAATCCCTGTGTTCTCTCTCTCCCGCTCAGATCCGTGTGCCGCTTCAGGACGGTCGGCGCAGTAAGTCCATCGAGGAGCGAGAGGAAGAGTACCAGCGCGTCAGAGATCGCATTTTTGCACGAGAAGTAAGCGCTAACGGCTAACTAGCGGTTTTTAGGAATGCGTGCTGTGCTGAACGCAATATGAGACCAAAAAAGGTTTTATATTTAATATTTTTATTTAATATTATGTACACACACACATTATGTATTTTTTTGTACTTAGTAATATTTATGTAGTAATTATGATCTATTTGTTTCCACATTTTCTTTTTTACAATACATTTAATCAATGTATTAATTCATAATCCCGTTTTCTGCATCGTGGCGGATAGGGCTGTCGATTATTTTAGTAAGTGGGTATGCCACCAATTATTCCATAAATTAATTGAGTAATCAATTAAGTAGTCTGAAAAAAAAAATTATAGTAATAAAACTCCCGAATTGTATAATTGTAATTAAAATATAATGTTATAATATAATTGAATTAGTATAATGTTTGTCAGTAAAATCAATGTAATATATTTTTATAATATTTATTTATTTAATATTATGTATTTTGGGGGAATTTTATGGTACTAACTAATATTTATGGAATAATTATAATACATTTGTTTCCACAATTTTTACAATACTTTTAAATCAAAGTATATTGGGTCACACTGATACTCCTTCTGGAATATGAGTCAATTATTATACTTTTTTTAAGTAAAATCAATGTTATATATATATATATAACACCACAATAACCCATAAACAGCTCTACAGAATCCATACGTTCATATATAATTCAGAATTCATAAAACCACATTTATTACTTTCAATTCAGTGCAGAAGATTGATGGAGGCAAAGCAATAATATGCAGATGTTGTGTTTGTCGTTGCAGTCTTCACAGAACGGATACATCAATGATAACAGGTAAGACACGAACCTAGCGAACACTCCACTAGCAGCACAGCACGCATGATTAGCCACTTTAACCCCTTAATAGTGTGATCATGTACCTTTACAATATTAATACCATGGTGAATATGGTATTTATGGCTGATATTGTCACAGTAGGATCGTACAACTGTACTTTTTACTGTGTAATTTTAAAGTTTAAGTTCGTGTAAACTCTGCTGGAACACAATCAGTCCTTCCTCATCCTCCAGTGATGTAGATGAGTCTAGAGTGAGTGTTTCCTCATGTATGGGTCCCTTACACACACACACACACACTCACACTCACAAACTCACGCACACACACACACACACACACATATATATATATATATATATATATATATATATATGAAGAGTTCAGATGCAAAAGCTTCTAAATGCCATTTGAAATTTTCTTCTTTAATGATGATTTTTATCAAACTTGTATATTTAAGTTCAGTAATTTCACTTAAATAACAATTAATAGGTAATTATCATTGCCATTTAAGTGAAATCACTGAACTTAAATATACAAGCTTGATAAAAATGATCATTCTAGAAGAAAATTTCAAATGGCACTTAGAGGCTTTTGCATCTGAACTCTTCATATATATACTGTACACACACACACTCACATACACACACACCCATACAAACTCTTACATACTCTCATACACGCACGCACTCACACACACACAAACACACTTATATATACACAAACAAATACTCTCTCTCTCTCTCTCACACACACACACACATATACATATATATATATATATATATATATATATATATATATATATATATATATATATATATATATGCACATGCACGCTCACTCACACACACACACACACACACACACACTCCCTGTAACCCACGGACCCTGTTTTCTCCAATGTGACCCACAGACTGTCCACTGATGGATACTCCTCATCCTCACAAAAGAGGAGGCAGATCTTTAGGTACAGTCTCTGCTGTGTGTTGCCATGCGTCTCCGTGGTGACCGTGTGTTGCTTTGCGTTGGCTCAGTGCACTGTCGGGTTGCTAGGCGCCCGTGCATGGCTGCTGTCCCTGGAAACGACCAATCACTGCACTGTCATATACAAATGCATTTTGGTGTGGGAGAGAGTGTGTGTGTGTGTGTGTGTGTGTGTGTGTGATTGTGTGTGATCAAAGTATTGTGTCATGGTGTCAATTTTTTTTTTATCAGGTAATTTTAAACATCACCTTACAGCAAGTTTACACCTTAAAGAAGGCGGAGCCTCAGAGACACACCCACTTATTACATCATCACCAACACGGACCAATGGGAGACAAATTTTTTCCCAAAAATTTACTTCGTTTTTGCCCTGAAATTGTTCGAAATTACGTCACATTAGATTTTAAAATGAATATCTCAGTTGAATATCGGATTATGATAATGATTATGTTCTGGACCGTAAATGTCAGTTCAGATCGTGTTTTACAGATCAGTTATTTGATATTAATAAGCCCTTTTCTTCGTCTCTGAAAATTGCACATGATCATTTAACAAACATTTATTGATCTCTGGAACTGTTCGTGTCTTTTAGCTGTTAAATCCCTAATGATTGATTGAGTATTGGTTTTCTCGACAGCGAAGCACAGACTGAGTGTGTGTGCATCAGTTTAGCACTGTGATGGATGTGTTCATGTGTGCTGCACGGTGAATAAAACTCATATATATGATTCGAGAAGGTCTGAGGATGTTTTCAAACATGCATTTAATCTCGCATCACCGCATGAGTATCTCTGCTGTATTGTTGGATTTAAAGGATCAGGATTTCCCGATAATTTCCTCTCCTCCACCTCATCCAAGATGTTTCTTCAGTGGGAAACGAAATGAAGGTTTTTGAGGAACACACTCCAGGGTTTCTCCATATAGTGTCTTCAATGGGGTCCAACGGGTCGAAGGTCAGATGTGAGTGTTCAGTCTCGACACGATCCAAGACACAAACCAGCCCACATTTACAACAAAATACACATTTATATACTTTAACCACTAATGCTGGTCTTGCTCTCGCTGTGATGCGACACACATTACATGATCAGGGTGAAAGGTCAAGCGTGTAAAGTAGGGCGAAAAACTCCATCTCATTTTCTCCTCCAACTTCAAAATCGTCCGACATCGTTGTTTTGCCTTATTTTTTTGTAAATGGCGTTTGACTCAGTCCTTCGGTCAGTTCTTACGCCTACATCACGCTTGACCTTTCACCCTGATCTTGTAATGTGTGTCGCATCACAGCTCGTGCAAGACCAGCATTAGTGGTTAAAGGATTAGTTCACTTTTGAGAACTTTTGCTGATAATTTACTCACCCCCGTGTCATCCAAGATGTCCATGTCTTTCTTTCCTCAGTCGAAAAGAAATTAAGGTTTTTGATGAAAACATTCCAGGATTTTCTCCTTATAATGGACTTCAATGGGGACCAAACGGTTCAAGGTCCAAATGGGAGTTTCAGTGCAGCTTAAAATGTCTTTAAACGACATCAGATGATGAATAAGGGTCTTATCAAGCGAAACAAACTGTAACAAAAATGTAACTTTTCTAAGGACAAATGCTAGCCTTGCTCTATTCTGTGAGGCGCGTTTGTATCGTCACGTAATACGTAATTACGTTCAAAAGGTCACGGGCAACGTAGCCGGAAGTACAAAATCAAAATCGTCCGACATCGTTGTTTTACCTTTTAATTCATTTTTTTGTAAACGGCGTTTGAGTTAGTTTTCATGTTCAACCTATGCGTTCAACTTGACTCTGTATTTCCGGCTACGTTGCCCGTGACCTTTTGAACGTAATTACGTATTATGTGACGTTACAAACGCGCCTCACAGAATAGAGCAAGGCTAGCATTTGTCCTTAGAAAAGTTACATTTTTGTTACAGTTGGTTTCGCTCGATAAGACCCTTATTCATCGTCTGGTGTCGTTTAAAGACATTTGAAGCTGCACTGAAACTCTCATTTGGACCTTGAACCGTTTGGTCCCCATTGAAGTCCATTATATGGAGAAAATCCTGGAATGTTTTCTTCAAAAACCTTAATTTCTTTTCGACTGAAGAAAGAAAGACATGGACATCTTGGATGACACGGGGGCGAGTAAATTATCAGCAAAAGTTTTTCAAAAGTGAACTACTCCTTTAAAGTATATAAATGTGTATTTTGTTGTAAATGTCGCTGGTTTGTCTAGATCAGACTCTGATCGTGTCGAGACTTTGAAGCTGCACTGAAACTCACATCTGGACCTTCGACCCGTTGGACCCCATTGAAGACACTATATGGAGAAACCCTGGAGTGTGTTCCTCAAAAACCTTCATTTCTTTAAAAGCAAGAAAACATATTAGTGTGAAAGCATCCTGATTCTGCAGGGGACACCAGGAGAGCTCGAGCCGTGTGTGTGTGTGTGTGTGTGAGTCTTAATGTTCGGGTATCCATGCACTTTTATCCCGTTGATGTCTGATATCTTGCAACTGAGTGTGTGTAGCGCTCCTGTGATGGCATGTGTGTGTGTGTTCACAGAGCTCTGTTTGTCTGACTCTCGTCCCGTCCGCAGGGGGAACCGGGAGAGCTCGAGCCGGGCGTCCAGCAGTCGTCAGAGCAGCACCGACAGCGACGTGAAGAGCCTGGACCCCCGGCCCTGGAGCAGCACCGACTCGGACAGCTCCAGCCGCACGCTCAGGCCTCCGGTCACCAAAGCCAGCAGCTTCAGCGGCATCTCCATCCTCACGCGCGGAGACAGTCTGGGCAGCGCCAGGGGCTCGCGATCAGGTGCCGCTTCAGCTTATCATTATTACAGGGCGTTCGTCCTGCTTGAGAAGATCAGCAGCTCCACTATCATGTCAAAGCCGTGCCATTAATTATACATGCATAGGGCAGAAATCAAATTAGAAATCCGGACCGCAAGGGTTCGCAGGGCATTAATCGTTAAAGGGGTCCTGTAATGCCCTTTTCACAGGATGTAGAATAACTCTCTGAGGTCCCCAGAGTGTGTGTGTGAAGTTTTAGAAGTTTTAGCTCAAAATACACAACAGATGTTTTTTATAGCATTTTCACCCTTTATCACGGGGAGTAAAAACTCTGCGTTTGTGTGTGTCCCTTTAAATGCAAATAAGCTGCTGCTCGGGGCACAGAGGGCGGAGCTTCAAGAGCTTGTGTGTGTTTGTGTGTTAGCAGCCCGATTACCTCACACACACACGCACTGATTTATTTATTTGTCTGTTTTCTCTACTTCTCACACACTGACGCTGGTCTGTCCTCAGGTCTTCCCACGCTGTCTCCGGATCTGTGTGCCCCATCACAAACACCCCAGTCGGGTCGAGGTCTCCTGCCGTGTCCCACGAACTGCCCCCCCGCCGGCTCTCAGAGCAGCGGCCCACCGAACCCTCCACCGCTGCTGCCCACCCCGTCACACACACACACCATCAGCTCTCACAATCACATGCTGCCTCAGGTGAGGACAATGCTTTAACACAGTTTCAACACCTTAAACACTTAAAGGCATAGTTCACCCCCCCACCCCAAAAAAAATAAATAAATAAATAAATAACATAATTAGCCCATGATGTACTCACCCTCAAGTCATCCTAGGTGTATATGACATTCTTCTTTTAGACGAGTTCAATTGGAGTTATAGAAAAAAAGTCTGGACTCTTTTAAGCTTTGTAATGGCAGTGAATGGCTGTTTCTGTCCATAGGTCCAGAAAAGTGCATCTGTCCATCATAAAAGTGCATCTGTTCATCATAAAAGTGCATCTGTCCATCATAAAAGTGCATCTGTTCATCATAAAAGTGCATCTGTCCATCATAAAAGTGCATCTGTCCATCATAAAAGTGCATCTGTCCATCATAAAAGTGCATCTGTCCATCATAAAAGTGCATCTGTCATCATAAAAGTGCATCTATCCATCATAAAAGTGCATCCATCATTATAAAAGTGTATCTGTCCATCATAAAAGTGCATCTGTCCATCATAAAAGTGTATCTGTCCATCATAAAAGTGTATCTGTCCATCATAAAAGTGTATCTGTCCATCATAAAAGTGCATCTGTCCATCATAAAAGTGCATCTGTTCATCATAAAAGTGCATCTGTCCATCATAAAAGTGCATCTGTCCATCATAAAAGTGCATCTGTCATCATAAAAGTGCATCTATCCATCATAAAAGTGCATCTGTCCATCATAAAAGTGTATCTGTCCATCATAAAAGTGTATCTGTCCATCATAAAAGTGCATCCGTCATTATAAAAGTGCATCTGTCCATCATAAAAGTGCATCTGTCCATCATAAAAGTGCATCTATCCATCATAAAAGTGCTTCTGTCCATCATAAAAGTGCATCTATCATTATAAAAGTGCATCTGTCCATCATAAAAGTGCATCTGTCCATCATAAAAGTGCATCTGTCCATCATAAAAGTGCATCTATCATTATAAAAGTGCATCTGTCCATCATAAAAGTGCATCTGTCCATCATAAAAGTGCATCTGTCCATCATAAAAGTGCATCTATCCATCATAAAAGTGCATCTGTCCATCATAAAAGTGCATCTGTCATTATAAAAGTGCATCTGTCCATCATAAAAGTGCATCTGTCCATCATAAAAGTGCATCTATCCATCATAAAAGTGCATCTGTCCATCATAAAAGTGCATCTATCCATCATAAAAGTGCATCTGTCCATCATAAAAGTGCATCTGTCATTATAAAAGTGCATCTGTCCATCATAAAAGTGCATCTGTCCATCATAAAAGTGCATCTATCCATCATAAAGTGCATCTATCATTATAAAAGTGCATCTGTCCATCATAAAAGTGCATCTGTCCATCATAAAAGTGCATCCATCATTATAAAAGTTAGGGATGCACCGAAATGAAAATTCTTGGCCGAAACCGAAAACCGAAAAAGAGGAAACCAAGGCCGAAAACCGAAACACCGAAAGAAATTATGCCAATTATTAGTATCATTGCATTTATGGCTATGACTGTGTACAAACTTTACTAAAATCAAGGCATTGCAATTGCATAAATTAATATAACCTTTTCAAAGAATAAATCAATTACAAATTATGCAAATATTTATTTAGCACAATGCACAGTATAAAATAAAATTCAAACAAAAATGTTTAACTTGACCCCACTCATACACTAAATAAATCTACTGGCCTGCAGAAAGGTTTTAAAATGAAATGTTCTCTCAAAAACAAAGCCGAGCACGAACTTCTCATCAAACCAGCACCCAGTTTGCATGTCTAAATTAGTTACATTTTAAAAATTTAGCATACAATAGCATAAAAAGCCTTTTTAAATGAACAATGGTCCATGTTTAATACACATGTACATGAAACTTAATGAAACATGTTTAGTGAATGTAGAAAATATTTAAGAGAGCATTAATTTAGTTCTATACATGTTCCCATATACATATTTTTTTGTAATGTCACAAGTAATAATCTCAGGGTTTACTGGATTTTACATGATTATTTTTGTATTGGTGGTGGAATACTAAAAATAAACATTGTCATGTATTTATCCGTCTTCTTCTCATCGATTCCTGGTTAGAGGACAGGTACTTGAGTCGTCCCCTGTCGTTTCAAGGAATAGTACAACGGAGGAGAGCGCGTCAAGTATAAACGCCTCGACCGTTTGGAGCGGTGCACGCGCTGTTTGTGGAGACTCGCGCTGCCTTGTTTACTTTCGCCTGCCTCCGCAACGCGAGTCTTATTCATATTTTTTTAATTGTTTCATCCACCTATATCTGCTCAAAACAATGCGTGCCGCCATGACGACGACTCCGCTTGCGAGCGGGTCAAAAGCGGTGCGCGCGCTGTCTGTGGAGACTCGGAGGAAGGCGAAAGTATAAACAAGGCAGCGCGAGTCTCCACAGACAGCGCGCGCACCGCTCTTGACCCGCTCGCAACCGGAGTCGTCGTCATATAGGCAGATATAGGTGGATAAACAAGGTTTCCGTCTCATCGCGGGTTCAGATACACTGAAATACGTCCACACCACAGACATGTTGCTTCAGACAAGCACGTGCAGGTCGCGGTTTCTGTTTGCGTCATCACAACATTTCGGCCGTATTGTTTCGGTGATAAAAGTCTTTCGGCCGAAAACCGAAAATGCACTTTTGGGCCATTTTCGGCCGAAAATTTTCGGCGGCCGAATATTCGGTGCATCCCTAATAAAAGTGCATCTGTCATCATAAAAGTGCATCTGTCCATCATAAAAGTGCATCTGTCCATCATAAAAGTGCATCCATCATTATAAAAGTGTATCTGTCCATCATAAAAGTGCATCTGTCCATCATAAAAGTGTATCTGTCCATCATAAAAGTGCATCTATCCATCATAAAAGTGCATCTATCCATCATAAAAGTGCATCCATCATTATAAAAGTGTATCTGTCCATCATAAAAGTGCATCTGTCCATCATAAAAGTGTATCTGTCCATCATAAAAGTGCATCTATCCATCATAAAAGTGTATCTGTCCATCATAAAAGTGCATCTATCCATCATAAAAGTGCATCTGTCCATCATAAAAGTGCATCTATCCATCATAAAAGTGTATCTGTCCATCATAAAAGTGCATCTATCCATCATAAAAGTGCATCCATCATTATAAAAGTGTATCTGTCCATCATAAAAGTGTATCTGTCCATCATAAAAGTGCATCTATCCATCATAAAAGTGCATCTATCCATCATAAAAGTGCATCCATCATTATAAAAGTGTATCTGTCCATCATAAAAGTGCATCTGTCCATCATAAAAGTGTATCTGTCCATCATAAAAGTGTATCTGTCCATCATAAAAGTGCATCTATCCATCATAAAAGTGCATCTGTCCATCATAAAAGTGCATCTATCCATCATAAAAGTGTATCTGTCCATCATAAAAGTGCATCTATCCATCATAAAAGTGCATCTATCCATCATAAAAGTGCATCCATCATTATAAAAGTGTATCTGTCCATCATAAAAGTGCATCTATCCATCATAAAAGTGCATCCATCATTATAAAAGTGTATCTGTCCATCATAAAAGTGTATCTGTCCATCATAAAAGTGCATCTATCCATCATAAAAGTGCATCTATCCATCATAAAAGTGCATCCATCATTATAAAAGTGTATCTGTCCATCATAAAAGTGCATCTGTCCATCATAAAAGTGTATCTGTCCATCATAAAAGTGTATCTGTCCATCATAAAAGTGTATCTGTCCATCATAAAAGTGTATCTGTCCATCATAAAAGTGTATCTGTCCATCATAAAAGTGCATCTGTCCATCATAAAAGTGCATCCATCATTATAAAAGTGCATCTGTCCATCATAAAAGTGCATCTGTCCATCATAAAAGTGTATCTGTCCATCATAAAAGTGCATCTATCCATCATAAAAATGCATCTGTCCATCATAAAAGTGTATCTGTCCATCATAAAAGTGTATCTGTCCATCATAAAAGTGTATCTGTCCATCATAAAAGTGCATCTGTCCATCATAAAAGTGCATCCATCATTATAAAAGTGCATCTGTCCATCATAAAAGTGCATCCATCATTATAAAAGTGTATCTGTCCATCATAAAAGTGCATCTGTCCATCATAAAAGTGTATCTGTCCATCATAAAAGTGTATCTGTCCATCATAAAAGTGCATCTGTCCATCATAAAAGTGTATCTGTCCATCATAAAAGTGCATCTATCCATCATAAAAGTGCATCTATCCATCATAAAAGTGCATCTGTCCATCATAAAAGTGCATCTGTCATCATAAAAGTGCATCTATCCATCATAAAAGTGCACCTGTCCATCATAAAAGTGCATCCATCATTATAAAAGTGCATTTATCCATCATTATAAAAGTGCACCCATCCATCATAAAAGTGCACCTGTCCATGACGCCACAACATCATACTGTTTCGACACTTCAACTACTTGATATCTGTATGTCATGCATCAGTGAAGTCAAGTTGAAGTCACCTTCATTTATTCATTAGAACATTCTGCTCTAACATTTCCTTGTTTAACATGTTTAACACTATTCCTTCATGTTTTCCCTCTCTCTCTCTCTCTCTCTCTCTCTCTCTGCAGCCGGTGGCGTCTGCGCAGGCTGTGTCTTACTCAAACCCTTCGTGCCCTCAGGTCCTCCTGCCTGTTTCTCCTTCCCAGCAGTACAACATGGTACTAAAACATTGATCCTGCATCTTTCCCTTCGTTTCCCCTCGTCTGTTCTCTCTCTGGATCTTCTTCTTTTAAAGTCCCCCTGTTGTCATTAATTTTACTCATCTTTTATCATCAAAATGACTTAAACATTTCTTCCCTTTTAAAAATAAAAAAAAAATGTCTTCATGCCTTAAATTTAAAATATCATGAATGTAACTCGACACCCTCGCCTCATTTAGTATGCGCGGTTCTATGAATATGCAAATGAGCCCCGCCTCCTCTCAGAGATCCACTGGTTGTCGATCACACGTTGATCTGATTGGTTACAAGTTGGTTTGTGACGTCAGAAACACCAGCGATTTCAAAGCGTGTTTTTTAAACTTCACTGCAGTTTTAAGGAGGAAATACTCAGCAATGCTGTCCACTTATCAATGTGTGTGTTAAAGCGGATTAAACACACCACACACACACATAAACAACATTAAACGCTGGATCTCTCTCTCTCTCTCCTCAGGGTGATGAGTTGACTGCAGGTTTCGGGCAGATGTCTCTAAGCCGTCAGAGCTCCAGCGAGGCACCAGAGCCACCCAGCCTTTACCAACCTCCTCCTGCCGTGCTATCCCAGCATGCACCACCTCAGCCCAGTTACATCATGCCCCCACACACACACACACACCCGCCACCCTCCGGATACCAGCCAGCCGCTCCACACACACACCCGCCACCACCGCCGCCACCTCCGTCACAGCCCATCCTTCAGATGCAGCCGCCGCCTCAGCAGGTACAACACACACACACACACACACACACACACACACACACACACACTCTGACTGTATATTTAAATCCCATGCTAACATCATTCAGTCCTGTAGCTCATTATCATCGTCTCTCCAGTCAGGAAACTCTTAGGATTTAAAAACAAATCACCGGCTGTGAAATGTGTCGCAGTCCCGAGGTGCGGGATACTACCGGTCTCTCTGAGGGCGAAACAGGAAGGAAAACTTTAGTTAGACTACTTAAGTGTGAGAGCAATGCTAAGTGTGATGCTTTGTGGGATGTTGTTTGTGAAGACGTGCTATAATCACTCACACACACACACACACACACCTGCTGTGAATCTCACTCTCGTTCCTGCTGGCTTTGCAAAGTGAAGTTTGCTTGTTTATTGTTAACAAGTGATGTAAAAACATATCTCATTTAATATAGATTTTTAAATAAAAAAACTATAGAAGTCAATGAAACCTCCCCACTTACAGAGCCATTGCCACATGATTGCCTCGGAGTCTTGGGCTATTTTGGCCCTTTTTGAGTACTTCTATGTTTTTTTTTTAATTTTGTGACATAAACAAATGTTTACCATACCAATTTTTGTTATTCAATCATCACCTATATAACCAGACAATTAGTTTATCAGTTTGATGTACTGGACCCGAAATCACGCAAAAAACACAAAATCCGAATAGAAATATTATAGCTTTTCTACTACAAAAAACACAAACATGCTCAATGAAGCGTTTTAAAAGGTTTAAAATGTAAACACAAGTTGTAAAAGTCAAAATATACAGGTCAAATTCAGATATAATCAAGCTATATGCGAAAAAAGCGAGTGTAGCCATAGGCTTTTTTCTTTTCATTTTAGCTTTGCCACTTTTTAAAAAGAAAAATGTGCACTCAAATATACAGAGAGCTATATTTAAGGCCTTGCATTCCCAGAGTACGAGGGTTTCCAAATAGTGCAAACACAACATAGAAAAGGTAAAATGGAGATAAAATGAAACTAAATACAGCAAAAAGCAGCTGTATCAATAGGCGTTTTTTCTTTTCTTTTTTTGCTTAGAAACTACAAAACACTTGATTTACAATTACACAGCTATCTACATTACAGGGCTTTCATTCCTTGAGTAAGAGGGGTTCCTCAATAGTGCAAATATACCACACAAAAGGTAAAATGAACACAAAATCAAACCATACAGTGGTGTGAATAAGTTTGGACACCCATGCTAAAGTTGCCTAAAAAGAGGAATAAAAAACATCTTTTGGATATTGATCTTAATGCCTTAATTAGAAAAATGAGGAAAACTCCAACCTTTAAGGACACTCATTTTCTTTGTGAATGAATAATGTATCATAAATAAATAAATGTTTTTCCTTAAAATACAGGGTGCATAAGTCATTGCCCCCCTATGTTAAATTCCCATAGAGTCAGGCAGATTTTTATTTTTAAAAGCCAGTTATGTCATGGATCCCGGATAATATGCATCCTCATAAATTTCCCTTGGCCTTTGGGATTAAAATATCCCCACATCATCATCACACACCTTCCACCACACCTAGAGATTGGCATGGGGTACTTTCCATAAGATCATCTTTCAATGCAAATCAAACAGGCTAACTGAAGTAAAACCATGCCAATCTCTAGGTGTTTTTCACTTTTTCACTTTGTTTTTCTCTTTCACTTTTGCGTCTTATTTGCCTCAGTTGGCTCCTCCTTCACTCCGTAAGCCTGAAGAGCAGAATCAGCAGATTCACACATTTTTCTCCGTTTTGTTTTATGACAAAAACCGACAAAGTTATTAGAATAAATGCAACGTTTGTCACATCCCATCTTGCGTTCTTTTACGAACGCGTCAATATACGCGTGCATTTTTTTATATAAAGTTTAAATGATCATATCTCTGATTTTACTTGGTCTGTCAACACAAAACAAAAAGTAAAATAGAGATTCAAGTCAGCACTTTCGACAGAAGTGGACGGCAGCGCTCAACGTGACTTTGTTTTTATGCTTCGACGTCTTAAACTTAAACATGTGACTTGATCACGCCGACTTGATCGGCGACCTCGAAGGGTTAAATATAATCCATTTATTTATTGAATTTCCAGCTAAATTGCAACATTGTGATGACAGTCGTTTAAAATATAGACGCCTCATATTCCATCAGAACCAGAAGCACATAATATTCAAGAGCTTGGACCTGTGTGTGTGTGTGTGTGTGTGTGTGTGTGTGTGTGTAGTATCAGAGATGATGATGCTCAGTGTTTGCGGTCCTCTCTCTCTCTCTCTCTCTCTCTCTCTCTCTCTCTCTCAGATCCAGGTCCAGTATTACTCCACCGCCGGCCAGTATCCGCCCTCAGCGGTGCACCAGGGTCAGCAGTTTCGCTCCATCTCTCATCAGGTGTCGTTTCCCACACAGAGGTCGCAGCCGCTGCCCCCGCCGGCTCAGCCCTCCGGTCAGTGTCTCGCCGCACGATGATTTATGGGATTATGACCATCTGTCTCACATTATTGGCTCTGAATAGCGAGTGAAGTTTGATGTGTTTGTGTTTTGCGTGAGCAGCTCCACTCCAGCCCATGATGACCAATCAGCAGCCAGCGTACCAGAGCATGCTGGGAGTTCAGCAGCCCCAAAGCATGCTGGGAGTTCAGCAGCCCCAGAGCATGCTGGGAGTTCAGCAGCCCCAGAGCGCAAGTCTGATGAACACACAGCGGACGAACCTCAATGGGCAGATGCAGAGCATGATGGTCCAGTACCCCCCCATGCCCTCCTATCAGGTGGGTGTGAGAGTGTGTGTGTGTGAGAGAGTGAGAAAGTGTGTGTGCGTGCGTCTGAGACTGACAGCACCACTCGTGTGTGTGTGTGTGTGTGTGTGTGTGTGTGCAGGTTCCTGTAGCGAGTGAAAGTCAGTCTGTGGTGCAGCAACAGTTCCAGCAGTCCGTCATGGTGCCCGTCAGCCAGTCAGTGCAGGGAGCCATGCCACCCTCCGCGCCCATGCCCGTCTACTACAGTGTCCTGACACCCACACAGCAGAACAGCACAAGGTACACACATGCTAACGCTAGCCAATCAGAACACTGGCCGCTAGGGCTGTCAATCTTCCTCTATAATACTATTCGAATTCCATTCCTTATTTTATGTAATATTCAAATAATATTCGAATATTAAATGCTCAAATTTATCCTATTATTAATATTTACGACATTACACATTCTTATGGATCGTCAATGCCACTATAGCCTGTGGTTGTTGTTACACGTTCGGCCCACTAGAGGGACATCTAACATTACTACAATAAACATTTAGGGGCTGTTTACACCTGGCCACTTCAGATCGGATAGCTCTGATTTATCAAAACGATTCCATTTACACCTGCTCACATAAATGTGTTTTTGCAAAACAGATATAAATCCGATCTTCAATTCCCGCGCTATATACGGATATACTGAAGTGCACGTCACCGAAAGCAACAGATTTGAGCTGCATTTTATTGATCATCGGCTAATTTCAAAATCAGCAAAGACGGCAATGAGAGAGCGGCAACAGAACTGGTAATATCATTTCTTTACGTTTAATGAAGATGGTCGTGTTAAGCGTCTGCGACTTACTTTCACTTTGATTTGCGATAGACTGCGGCGCGTTGGCTTGATGAACAGGGGCTCAGATCTGAGGTGATGTGATCATTATATCGCGTCGGAAGTTCCGGGAGTCTCCCACGTATTGATAGCGTCTCCCTGATGGCCGCAAATTAGTTAAAATCTCCTGGAATCCGCGCATAACATAGCCTACATAGCGCGCGGCGCGTGCATGGCAGAGAGGGAGTGAACGAGACCTTGCGAATGTGCCACGCGAAAGCTAGTCCCGCGCTCTCCTATTGTTAATAAGAAAGCGATAAGGGGCCGTTTACACCTGGTCACTTCGGAAGTATATATTTATTTTTAAATATATATAAAAGCAATATTCGAATAGTAACTTTAGCATTCGAATAGTATTGATTTCTCTAATATTCAAATTATATTCGAATTTCGGAATTCGTTCCTACAGCCCTGCTGGCCGCGCCTTAAAAACAGATCATTTTAGAATGAGGGTTGTAAATAATTTTTCCACATAAATGTATTTATTTGATCAAAACAAATTATATCATCTATGAAGAGATATCATATTCAAAACTGCACAATAATTAGCTAGTGTTATGTAACCATTTTTGAGTTTGTAACTTTTCCTATTTTCACTGTAAAGCTGCTTTGAAACAATCTATATGGTTATAAATGTATAAACGAAGGTGACTTGACTCTCTCTCTCTCTCTCTGTGTGTGTTTCAGTCAATCTGTGGGTTACCTGCAGCCCACTTCAGATCAGTACCAGATGACCCAGTCTGCCTCGCCCTGCAGCCCACAGCCAATACAACAGCAGTATTCAGGTATCCCACAACCACCCTGGGCGCTGGTTACAGCATTTATACTACTAGTTCGCTTTTTAGGGGTTCAAGCGCGTAAAAATGATCGAGCAGACCAAACCGTAAGTCGTAGAGACTTGAAACTTTGAGGGCTGGTAGTACTCACGCCGCCTACAACTGCACCAATTCTCGCCCCAATCGGCCTGACGGTGGCGCTATAGCGGTCAAAAGAGCTTCCGTCACTCAAGTGTCTCGTATAGTGCATGCCCCCGAATCGCTCGTCGTTCTGGCAAAATAAAACCTTTTGCCAACCAGTCCTACGTTTTTAACCCGATCGGAACCAAGATTCTCTGGAGTCTGATTGTCAAGTTATCAAAAAAGTCGAAATTTCGGTTTGCTCGAAGTGGGAGGAGCCAGTTTAACTAAAATAGATATTACTCGTGAACTAAATTAGATATTTTCACTAAACTCAGCGCACCTGTGAAAGAGATTCTGTGGTCACGTTGAAAAGGACTCGGCGACTGGCCACTTGGTGGCGCTATTACAGTAAAAAGAAAAACATGAAAACGGCTATAACTACTTCAACGCTAGTCCGATTGACTTGAAAATTGGTATACCGTGTCTTTGTCCAAGCTACCTTGATTATCTATGTGAACATTAGCGTATCTCAAAAAACATGTCCTCCATTGGCCAATGAAATACTGTTAACTTCCTATGGTAAAACTCCTGTATTGGCTGTAAAAGGTCATTTCCATGTGGCATCTAAAGATTTATATGCCCTCAATTTCTCTTTACACTCAGGTGTAGTCGTCAGGCCTTACGTTAATCCTCAGATCGTCCATCATCGAGTGAGCGTGTACGGGTCTAAAATTAAAATTAACTTTTGCAAATAACGATCACAGTCCTGGACTTTGAGTGACCTTACACATTACGATAAAATCAGATTTTCTCCCGTCATTTACAATAAAAATAAAAACAAGCTAACAAGACATGCTAACTAGCATTAGTGAAGCGGCCAGAGGAATCGTTCTGCCTCCGCCTAAGCTCCGCCCACTGTGTTCACAAACTGAAAAGGGGTCCATAATATAGGGACACTTTAAGAGCAGTTTTGTTTTCAGAACTCGGTCTAGTTTATTTTGAGTTCAGAGTGATTGACGCGTGTGTGTGTGTTGATGTGTTGTAGGGGTCCCGCCTCCTGGTCCCAGTGTTATGGTAATGCAGCTCAGTGTTCCCAACGGGCCACAACCGACCCAGAATCCTCCACTGGTGCAGTGGAACCCATGCAAGTTCTATAGCATTGAGCAGAGACCCAGCAAACCTGAGCAGCAGGTACTACACACACACACACACACAGCTATACCAAAAATATCTAATCAGGATTTTTTGCATGTTGGTTTTACTATTTTTGCACATGACTGAGCGTTACTGCCCTATGTTAAACACAAAGCCTTACAAGGTCACAAAATATACAATAAAAAAAGAATTGTAAACATTTAAGCGAAAGTAGTGGAAAAAAAAAATCTTTACATAAATTATACTGGTGAAACTCTAAAAATTACAATAAGAATCCAAAGGTTTATTTCAGTAATTCAACTTAAAAGGTGAAACTAATATATTATATAGAGCAGTGTTGGGTAAGTTACTCTAAAAAAGTAATTAATTACTAGTTACTAATTACCTCTTCAACAGTGTAATTAGATTACTGTAATAATTACTCTCTCTAAAAAGTATTTAATTACTTTTAATTACTAATTACTTTCAAAATCCCATATCAATCTCAACCAGCTGAATAATACAAGGATAGGCATGAATCTGTTTTAATTCTTTCAAATAAATACTATAAAATTGCACGAATTATCCTTAAACTGACCAAGGAGAAGGTTACATTATAAAAACATACTTTTTAACATCAGACAATACATTTTGATGTATCGTACGATTGGTCGATTTAGACGCCTCATAAAATGCATACGAATCGCTGTGAGATCGGATTGATCTATACATAGTATTTACCTCAATTACATCAGAAGTAACTGTAATTAAATTACAGATAAATGAAGAGTAATCCCATACTTTACATTTTCATTGGAAAAGTAATTAAATTACAGTAACTAATTACTTAGTAATTAGTTACACCCAACACTGATATAGACTCATTTCATGCAAAGTGAGATATTTCAAGCCTTTATTTGTTATATTTTGATGATTATGACTTACAGATATGAAAATCTTTTCACAATATTCTAATTTTGAATTTGGGGTTTTCATATCTGTAAGTCATAATCATCAAAATATAACAAATAAAGGCCGGAAATATCTCACTTTGCGCTGTTGTGTGTGTGTGTGTGTGTGTGTGTAGGTCAGCAGCCCGCTGGCGTCTCCCACACAGTCTCCGGCTCCCTCTCCGTCTGGGAGTGTGAACTCAGTGTGTCCGGGTCTCGGCCCGCTGCCTCTCATCTCTCAGTTCCCTCGGCCCGGTGGACCAGCACAAGGTACACACACTCGCTGTTACCTCACACACGTCTACAAGAGCTCACATCTCACATGTATGGAAGTTTCTTTTTTGCATTTCACTCTTGGTTTAATTATGATGCAAAACACTAGCTATAACAAGTCTTCCAAGAGTTTACAAACACACACACACATTTGTTGGGGAAAGTAACTTTGAAGAGTAATGCATTACAATATTAAAATACAATATACTCCCTTAAAAAGCAACTGATTGCGATACTTTTTTTTATTTTTTATAACCCTTGTGCATCAATTAAAAAAAGTTACACATAGATAAAAAGAGGACAAAAATGTCCATGTCAAAATACTGTCATGAAAATGTGACGCTTTGCAGCACAGACTTAAGTTTGGTATCATTTTAAAGAAGACCATTTGCAGATTATTGCTGAAGTAAAAAAATAATAAGTAAATCCAAAAAAAGGTTATATAGGTATAAGTTTATGAAAATTATTTATAAAAAATATTTTATATAAAATGTATATTTTTTAAATCAGGTTGAACTCAAAACTGCAATAAAATCAAAGCCATAAATCTAAATAGGTTGTGTTCCAAATTTGAAGATGATATCTCAAAAAATGAGCTTTGGGTAACAGTTTGTTTGGGCGTAGTAACATATTTTCCCCATTGGGTGGCAGCAAAACCCCACTGGAGCTCACAGTGACTGGATCTGAATTTGCAGTTTTTCTCTCTCAGTATTACAAACACACACACACATATTTTTTTACAACACGCATACTAACCACACTCCGACATCCATACCAACACACCCACACAAATATCGTTGCATAATTTATCCAGTTGGCTCTATAATATAACGAACCAGAAAACAGGAATAAAGCGATATTAGTTTTATAGGCCAAACTTAAAAAAAATGGCACCATCTGATAAAAAATAGTAAAAAATAAAATTTTTAAGCCTTTCCATCAGAATGAAAGCCTCTTAACAAAGATTGCATAATTTTATAGTTAACTGAACCGGGGATTAAAAAAATGGCAGTTTTCAATGAGGACATTTTTGTCCAAAAGGTGCTGAGAGGGAGTATTTCTTGTACCTAATGCAAAAAATATTTTTTAAGAAAATGACGGTGAAATAGTAAAATTCCAATAAAAATACACACCTGTGCCAAGTTTTTTGCAGTTAGCTTTAACACAGGCAAAGTGATCAAAAAAACAAAAGTGAAAAGGACAAAAATGTCCATAAGGATGCACACGGGTTAAATATTGCGCTCTTTTGCGTTATTTTTTTCCCAGCTGGGCTTGTTGTTTATAACAGAAGAATAGGATGCAGGAGAAAGAAGATGAACACTTGCTTAACCAATAAAAACAACTGAATCTTTGCAAGTACATTAGTCAATAAAGTGAGATTAAATGCATCATGTAAATGTGTGATTTATTTCCCATATTTATAGTTATTGGAGGTTTGCATTGTATTCTGATTCTGCATTTCACAGATTTTGTTCATTTTGAGGAATATTGAATCTTTTTTGTGCTAATGAGATGCACACGCACATTTAGTCTAGAACTATAATAACTACGATAACAGTAACCATGTCTTTGATTTGTCTCAACATGGGGTCAGTCGATAAACGGGAAAACAAAGTAACTTGAGTTACTTATTTGAAAAAATTGAAAGGAATATTACTTTACTAGTTACTTGAAAAAGTAATCTGATTACATAACTCAAGTCACTGCACACGTGTGACATCACAGTGAGCTCCGGACCGCGGTGACCCGGTTTACAGTCACCATGATCTGGTGTGTGTGTGTGTGTGTCCTACTGCCTTTGACCGTCAGTGTGTGTGTGTGTGTGTGTGTGTGTGTGTCCGCAGACGGGCGCTACTCTTTACTGGGCCAGCCGCTTCAGTACAGCCTATGTCCTCCTCCCATCATGCACAACCACAACCAGTCCTCTTACAACTCCCATCAGGTACAGGTGTGTGTGTGTGTGTGTGTGTTTGCCTATACTTGTGAGAACCAAATGTCCCCAGCCCACATATAATTGTAAAACTTGAGATTCTCTACTTTGTGAGACTTTTTGCTGGTTCTCAAAAGGAAATTTGATTAATATACATAATAAACTGTTTTTTTATTATTATAATTTGTATTTATTTATTATTAGACTGTCTGTGTGTGATGGGTAGGGTTAGTGTGTGTGTGTGTTCTGAGTGTGTATCAGTTTCAAAATATACTGACTGTTTTCTTAATGGATGGTGACCATTTTCTATTTGATCAGTAATTTTAGTTATTTTTAAGAAAAAAAAAAAGTGTTAATGTACATTTTAATATGTTTGTTTGCATTTTATTTTCGGTATTTAAGTTGTTAAGTTGTTATATGCTGAAAATTGATCTGTGTGTGTGTGTGTGTGTGTTTGGCCAGAATCAGGGAGTGATGAAGCACGGCGCTCGGGGGAAAAGACAAACGCTCAAATCTGCCTCTACAGATCTGGGAACTACTGATGTGGGTAAGAGACCAGAGACCTGCCCATCTAACACACACACACACACACACACACACTGACTGAGTGAGTGAGTGAACTGTTGTGACAAAATTCTCAAAATAATCTTTTTTTTTCTTCAAATGGAACATCTTTTAGACAAAATATTATAAATAAAATGTTGTATAGCCTATGTGTTTTATGTTTTGTATCTTATTTGATGCATCAGGCTTTTTTGGCTCTTTTTTATTTTACAATATAGTGAGAAAATAGAGACAATGACAAAAGTTCACTGAGGCTTATTCACCGAAAAAAAAAAACAACAACAATGTTTAAAAGCTGAGATCACAGAAACTGTTCCAAAAAGTACCGTATTGTTCAGGATCATATGACCCTGATTATAAGACCCTTTTTTTCAAGAGTACCTTTTGAAAATAATTTTCATACTAGATATTTTTCATATTTTATGAAAGTGTGGTAAATACTGGTAAAATGTACCAACGATCACATTTAAAAAATAAAAGAAATTTGGCTTACCTTAAAAAATAATTTATAATTATATAAAATAATAATAATAAAATAATTATATAAAAATATCCATCTAATAGTGAAAACCATGTAGCCCACCAAAATATTATTAAAAATCACAGACACAGAAAGTAAGTTTTAGTTCATAGCAATAACATGCACTAGAATTTGAGGTAAATTTCTTGTTGAAAACAAAAAGTGTTCGACCCTGTTAGAGCAGAGTCAGATTTTAGTTTTAGTCCATTGCAATAAAATTAATGGGGGAAAAAATAAAGTAAAAACAATATAAGTATTCTACCGCAATTTTTGAGGGGTTGGGGTAAATTTATATATATATATTTATATACATGATATAATTTACATAATTTAAAATTTAAATTTTTATACATAATAAAAATGTATATACTAGTATTTAGCAAAAAGCATAATGAGAGAATTATAAGCAGTTTGTTGTTGGGGGGTCATTTATGAAAAAAACAATAATGTATAGAAATGTTCTGTCTGTATTCTTATTGTGTGTGTTTTTTGGACAAAATTGATTAAAATTGTTAAATAATAGATTCAAATTATAAAAGAAAAAAAATTGTTATACCCTGTTTTATTGAAGTGCAATAACGTAAAGTACGCTTTTTAGGGGGTAAATTTGCGCTTGTGGATCTCTGTGTCCCTCCAGTGTTGAGTCGAGTCCTGGAGGTCACAGATCTTCCCGAGGGAATCTCCCGACCCGAGGCGGAGAAGCTCTTCAACCAGCTCTCGCTCTGCGGCGCCAAGATCCAGTGGCTGAAGGACCCGTCGTGTCCCAGAATGCCCGGCGGCAGCGACCCGGCTCACCTGTACACCGTGGTGGCCGTGTTCCCGAACACCATGGCGGCCCAGAGCGCCTCGTTCAAGCTCAACAACACCGCCGCGAGTCTGTTCAAACTGCGCGCCACCAAGAAGAACTATGACCTGCGCGTGTTTGAGCGAGCGAGCTCGCAGTGAGGCGGGCGAGAGAGAGATCATCCTGGTGTTCCTTTTTTATTATTTTGTATCATCAACTGAAGAGCACATGTGGCACAGAAGCGTGATGCGTTGTATGTGTATCATATGACACGCGCACACACTCATAGACACAAGCCGGCGACGGATAATAATCCAGATTCTCGTGTCGTTCCAAACCCGTATGGCGTCGTTTGAAGATCGCCGTACTGAGAAACCATCAGACTGCTGTAAAGTAACGCGCATTTTTGACATCATATAGTGAACTTTCAGACTTCAGATTAATATATGAAGACTTTAATCGCGACTTATTTTTGTCTCACAATTGCGAGTTTACATCACGCAATTCTGACCTTTTCTCGCAATTCTGACTTTATATCTCACAATTCTTACTTTATTTTTTTGCAATTCGGACTTTATATCTCGCAATTCTGACTTTATATCTCACAATTCTGACTTTTTCTCGCAAATCTGAGTTTATATCTCACAATTCTGACTTTTTTTCTCCTAATTCTGTCTTTTCTCGCAATTCTGACTTTATATTTTGCAATTCTGACTTTATATCTCACAATTCTTACTTTATTTTTTCGCAATTCAGACTTTAACTCCTAATTCTTTTTTTTCACAATTTTGACTTTATATCTCGCAATTCTGACTTTTTTTTTCTCGCAATTCAGACTTTTTCTTGCAATTCTGACTTTAACTCGCAATTCTTTTTTTTTGCAATTCTGACTTTCTTGCCATTCTGACTTTATATCTCGCAATTCTGACTTTATATTTTGCAATTCTGACTTTATATCTCACAATTCTTACTTTATTTTTTTGCAATTCGGACTTTGTTTTGCAATTCTGACTTTATAACTTGCAATTCTATCTTTTTTTCTTGCGAATCTGACTTTATATCTCACAATTCTTACTTTATTTTTTCGCAATTCAGACTTTTTCTTGCAATTCTGACTTTAACTCGCAATTATTTTTTTGCAATTCTGACTTTATATCTCGCAATTCTGACTTTATATCTCACAATTCTTACTTAATTTTTTCGCAATTCAGACTTTTTCTTGCAATTCTGACTAACTCGCAATTCTTTTTTTTTTGCAATTCTGACTTTCTTGCCATTCTGACTTTATATATCACACAATTCTGACTTTATATTTTGCAATTCTGACATTATATATCACAATTCTGACTTTTTTCTCACAATTCTGACTTTATATCTCACAATTCTGACTTTATATCACACAATTCAGAATTTTTTCTCACAATTGCAAGTTTACATCTCGCAATTCCTAAGTTTTATCTTAGAATTGCGAGTTATTTGAGATATAAACCCACAATTCTGGCATCATCTATAAAGTCCTATTCTAAGGAGGAAAAAAAAGCCTCTTTTTTTCTCAATTGTGAAAAGATGTCAGAATTGCAAGATATTAAGTGACTATTGCGTGTTATAAAGTCAGAATTGCGTAATATACATCCAATTCGGAGAAAATAAAAACTTTTATTTTTCGCAATTGCGACTTTATATCATGCAATTCTAAGATAGAAAGATTTAAAAAAAAAAAAACATCTTTTAATTCTGCGTTAAAAAGTAATAATTGTGAGATACAAAGTCCTTATTTATTTTTCCCCGGTCGGAAACAAGCTTCCATAGGAACACACACACACACACACACACAAGCTGTTAATGTGTATGGATAAAGCGCAGATGTTCTTCCGGTAAAGTCACGCAGGTTTGGATCAACATGAGGATGAGTAAATGATGAAAGGATCATCATTCAGCACTTCTCTCTCTCTCTCTCTCTCTCTCTCTCTCTCTGTTCACTTTGGATTTCTTCCTCTTTCACTTTCTAGCGTTTCTTGCTTTCTTGCCTTAACGCTGTTGTGGACTTCTGTATTGCGCCGTTTATTTTCTCTCTCTCTCTCAGACGAATCTTCTTTTCTCGTTTCAGTATATTTATATAAGTGATGTAAGGATTATAAGAAATAATCTATATATTCAGTGATTCTTTTCCCGTGGATAAGTTTGCGCTCCTCCTCTTCCTCGTTGTGTTTGCGTTCTCCCGTCGGCCGCTGTGCAGAAAGTGTTTAAGAAGTGCACAATGATTGCGAATGTCTACTGTAAATTCCATTTAATCTGTTATTTTTTGTTTGTTTTTAAAAATATAAAAGATAACTCAAAGAATTGTGTCGTTGTGTTGAATTGTGTGTGTGTGTGTGATTATTATTCTTGGAGACTGGGTTGTAAAACTTCAGATTTGGTCCCAAAGTTCAATGATTTTTATCCTGCGTCAAAATTGAGGAGCGAATCAGGATTTATGAAGACAGAAACTGCTGTGAAAAAAGCCATACATGCCATTTTATTGAGCTTTATTCTGTATGTAATATATATAAATATATACCAGTTAAAAAAATCAATAATCATTTGTTAAAATGTAAAGATGAATAGTACGTTTTTTAATAAGGTCCCATTAGTAATTGCATTGATTAACAATGAGCAGGACATTTGTTACTGTATTTTATTTATCTTTGTTAACATTAATAAATAAAAAGACTGTTCATTGTTAGTTCAGGTCCATTAAATCATATCAGATTCAACTTTTAATTTTAATAATGTGTCAGTAAATGTTGAAAATAACGTGAGCTAAGATTACTAAAGGCTGTAGAAGTTGCTCATTGTTGGTTCATGTGTGAGAGAGAGAGTGTGTGTGTGTGTGTGTGTGTGTGTGTGTGTGTGTGTGTGTGTGTGTGTGTGTGTGTGTGTGTGTGTGTGTGTGTGTGTGTGTGTGTGTGTGTGTGAGTTTTCAGCAGAATGCCATTGTTAAAGAGCTTCTTCCGTTCTGTGAGTCTGAATCATGTGACTTCATTACTCTAAAATTTACACTTTACTGCTGCATCTGCAGAAACACACACACACACACACACACACACACAGAGAGAGATTCAACTCACTCTAACGAGGAGAATATAAACTTGATTCATCACTCATTTCAGCTTCAGTTCATTACAGCGAGAGATCGACTCTCTAACCCTCCGTCACACATCTCCGCTTCACACACAACTGCTCTATCACACACACACACACACATACACACACACATTATTTATTTGTCTATGTTAACCTGATTGCAATAACATGCTAAACAAACTTTTGGTTATTTTTAGTATTTAACTGGTATTATTAGTATTAGTTTATATGATGATATAAAAAATAATTAAAATAAAATAATAATAAATCATATTAAATAATAATAATTCTTTTTATTTGTTGTTATTGTTAGTAGTTTTGTTATTATTGTAAATAGTATAAAATACATTTAAAAAATATTAACATTTATTATTTAATATTATTAATATTACAGATGACTTATTTGTTATTATTAACAAAATTATGTGTGTTTGCTTTGATGCTGTTACTTTTCAAAAAGAGAAATAATAAAATATATACTAATTATTGTTGTTTTTATCAATCTTGAAAGGTTTTAATTGCTTAATATCTTTTACTTGATTGTCAATTTTGATCAATTTATTGCGTACTTTACTCAGCAGCACAACTGTGTTCAACACTGATAATAATCACAACTGTTTCTCCAGCATCAGATCATCATATTAGAGTGATTTCTGAAGATAATAAAATACTGTTGTCTCTCTCTCTCTTTCTCTAATTGTTTATATGTGTGTAGTAATATATACTGTATATATATATATATATATATATATGTATTTTTTTTATTTAATTTCTTTAATGTCTTGAAATTTTATACGACTATGTGGTGATGTTTTTCAATTGTAAAAATAATAATAATTTAAGCAAACAATTGAAAAAAAACGGAAGAATTGAAAAGAACAGGAAGGATTTATCATTTATTTTGTATGAATAAAGAGAGATAAACGTCTCTCTCTTTCTCTCTCTCTCTCTCTCTCTCTCTCTCTCTCTCTCTCTCAGCTGTCAGTGAGTCTTGTTCAGGTTCCCGCTAAGCTTCAGTGATCACATGATCGGCCTACAGGAGCCCCCGTCAGACACGGGTCACTTCCTGTTGATGGCAGACGTCACACTGATGACATCAGATCGGTGGTGTTGGAGTTGACCTCTGACCTCTGTCACCGCAGGCGTCTCGTGAAGATCAAGCTGAGGAATACAGAGGAGACTCTCGCATCATCTGCAGTATATGATCTCCAAATCATTTAGATTTCATTCACTTCGTATTCTCCAAATATGATTTGAAGGTGAGATTTCATACCCCCTTTTCACAAGAAAATACCAGATCATTTATTATAGCTCGTTTTGTGTGTGTGTCCCTTTAAATGCAAATGAGCTTTAGCTCCGCCTCCGTTCAGAAGAGGGCGGATCCTTCACACGAGCCTCAGAGGCTCTGGCAATAACAGCACAGGCCGATCTGACTGATCCAGGATCAGGAGTAACAGCAGCTTTAGCTCCGCCTTACGGAGAGACTCGGAGAGCTTCACTTTTACACGTTTCTGGATGTTAGCGGAGATGTTTGTGTAGTTGTTGAGTAGTTTAGGCTCTGTTGGCGCTTGCCGAACCCAATGGCGGCTCAATGCTGTAAACGTGCAGATTAAGTGCCGGAATATTATAATAAGATCCTCTTCATATGGAAGGAGTGAAATCTGATCAGCTTATTTTATGACATGCTCTCAGAGAAAGGCTCACCAAAACAAAGTTAGGGTTTCACTTTTCACATTTTCACAGGTTGGCAGGAACACTGGCGACCCGATTATAGTGATTATAGCACTTACATGAGGGAAAAGTCAGATTCTACGCAGATTCTATTGCATTCACTTGAAGAAAAAAGTCTACTCTGTTTTTCTGTATTAACGAGTTAATTTTTCATGAGAAATTTTTTTTTGCTCTGTTTTTCTGAATTAACGAGTTAATTTTTCATGAGAAAAATTTTTTTTGCTGTTTTTCTGAATTAACGAGTTAATTTTTCATGAGAAAAAGGTTTTTGCTCTGTTTTTCTGAATTAACGAGTTAATTTTTCGTGAGAAAAATTTTTTTGCTCGGTTTTTCTGAATTAACGAGTTAATTTTTCATGAGAAAAAAAGTTTTTGCTCTTTTTTCTGAATTAATGAGTTAATTTTTCGTGAGAAAAAAAGTTTTTGCTCTGTTTTTCTGAATTAATGAGTTAATTTTTCATGAGAATTTTTTTTGCTCTGTTTTTTTTAATTAACGAGTTAATTTTTCATGAGAAAAAAAGTTTTTGCTGTTTTTCTGAATTAACGAGTTAATTTTTCATGGATTTTTTTTGCTCTGTTTTTCAGAATTAATGAGTTAATTTTTCATGAGAAAAAAAGTTTTTTCTCTGTTTTTCTGAATTAATGAGTTAATTTTTCGTGAGAAAAAAAGTTTTTGCTCTGTTTTTCTGAATTAACT